ATTCTCTGACCAGGAATCAAACCAGTGATCTTTTGGTCTGCAGGACAATGTCCAGCCCAGTGAGCTACACCAGTCAGGACAAGAGGAACTTTAAAAAACATCTAAAAATATTTATTTATTTATTTATTTATTTATTTATTTATTTATTTTTAGAGCGAGGGGATGGGAAGGAGAAAGAGGAGGAGAGATACATCAATGTGTGGTTGCCTCTCATGTGTCCCCCACTGGGAACTGGCCTGCAACCCAGGCATGTGCCCTGACTGGGAATCGAACCAGCGACCCTTTGCTTCACAGGCCCGTGCTCAGTCCACCGAGCTACACCAGCGAGGGCTAAAAAACATTTTTTTTAATTTACTGATGCTAGAGAGAGGACAGGAGAGAGAAACATCAATCTGTTGTTGCACCTATACATTCACTGGCTGATTCTTGTATTCTTGCATTCACTGACTGGGGATCAGACCTGGCAACCTTGGAGTATTGGGGCAAAGGTCTAACCAACTGAGCTACCTTGGGCAGGGTCCCTGAGGAATTTGTTTAAATTTCAGATTCCTAGATCCCCCACTCTCTCCAGAGATTAGATCTCTTCCACCTGAGGGTGGGGCCTTCTACATATTCAACAGGTTTCTTGGGAGTTTCTTACACACTTTGAGAAACTCTTTTGGCAGAGAAATGAAGAAATGGTGATGGTAGATGGTCAATGGACAAGAGGGAAAGGAGTCACATGTGGAGGCAAGGGAAGGTAAACCCTATCATATAATTCTTACCATTCGATAAATACTACCGGTCACATACTTGGTTCTAGGTACTCTGTTAGGTGCTGGGGACACAGCCATTATTGACATATATCATCTACTATCATGATGGAAAAAGAATATTCATCCATGAAAGACCAATGCCAATAAGAATTTGAGGGAGTTGAAGGGTTAAAAAAAAAAAAACGGGAGAAAATAGAGAAGGCCAAGGTTAAGGTCAGGAGAGGGAGTTAGATGAGACAAGTTCTAGGGGCTGGAAAAAGCAGGAAGCCTACCCTCTCTTGGAGCGAGAGTCTAGTCAGTTGCCTCTACTGTTTGTCTCTCTGAGTCGCTCCTCTTCCCATCTGCTCACCTCACCTCTCCTCAAGTACCTCCTACTTTTCTTCATCCCGTCTAGAATCCACCTTGTACTAATAAATGATATTTATAAATACTGGAATGCCAGCCACTGTATTGTTCACTTTAAGATGGTTCTGTAATGTGATTTCAACTTAGAAAAAAAAAAACAAACAAACTGGGTGCTCATATCCATCCATCCAAATCAGCTAAGCCATCCTGGCTGTGTAGCCCAGTTGGCTGGAGCATCAACCTGACAGGCCAAAGTTACAGGTTGATCCCCGGTCAGGGCACATGCAAGAATCAACCAATGAATGCATCAATAAGTGGAACAAATCAATGTGTGTGTGTGTGTGTGTGTGTGTGTCCCTCCCTTCCTCTCTGTCTAAAAAAATCAATGAAATTTAAAAATTTTTTCAGTTAAGCCTCCATCCTCCAGGACATGGTAATTAAATTATAGACTCTCTACATAGGCTTGCCGCCTTCTTACCACACCCCAGGTCTATCTGCCAGGCATCCATGACTTCTCCCATTTTTTGCCTACACCACAGTTCCAGAGCTGCTCCAAAGATGTCCTCTTTCCCAAGGTCTGGTCCATACTAGCAGTAAGGCAGGGAAAAGGGCTTAGTACTTAGCTATGTGACCTTATGTGAGTTACATAACCTCCCTAAGACTGGTTCTTCAAGGAGCTGAAACCACTTGTCTTAGTCACTCATTCAACATAGTACTGAGATTTTTTTAAATTTTACTTATTTTTCGAGAGAGGAAAGGAGAAAGAGAAAAACATTGATTTGTTCCACACTTATGTATGCCTTCACGGTTTTTTTATGTATGCCTTCACTGGTTGATGCCTGTACTGTATGTGCCCTGACCAGGGACTGAACCTGCAACCTTAGTGTATGGGGTCAACACTGACCAACTGAGCATCTGGCCAGGGCTTTTTTTTTTTTTTGTAAGATCTCTTTTTAAATAGAATTTTTATTAATTTATTTGAACCAAATTGAAGGACAATCGCCAGGAAGCAAGCTCTCAAATGCCCTGTGGGAGGATATTTTCTTAAAGGCAAGAAGCCCACTAGATTAGCTGGAGTGGGAGTGGAAGGGGTATCTCCCTAGAGGAGATGAAGCTGGAACTGAAGTTTAAATGAGGCATTAACTAGTTAGTAGGCAAAGAGGAATAAGAATGCTTTCTAGACGTGGCTCAGTGGCTTGAGTGCCAGCCTGTGAACCAAAGGGTCACCAGTTTGATTCCCAGTCAGGACACATGCCTGGGTTTCAGACCAGATCCCAAGTGGGGGCATGCAGGAAGCAACCACACATTAGTGTTTCTCCCTCCCTCCCTTCCCCTCTCTCTAAAAATTAAATAAAATCTTTGAAAAACAAAAAAGAATGTTTTACAGACAAGTCATACTTTTTAACCTCTCTAAATCTCAGTTTTGCTTGTTCAATGGAGGTAATAGCACTTTCTTCCAAAGGTCATCAGGAACAGTAAATCGAACACCTAGCACAGTGCCTGGCACATGGTGTGTGTTCAACAAAAGCTGTTTTTTCTTCCTTGACTTCCACCTTCCACAGGCGTTAACATAGGAGAAGGGAACCTCAGATTCAGAGGAGGCAACGTCCCCTACAGGGTAGATTGTAAGTCCCTTTGTCCACCCAGGTAATTGGTGATTACTATGGAATCTGGCCAAGCTAGTTGTTTGGAATGAGTGGCCTTAGGGATAAAGTGGTCACAGGATTCTGGGAAGGCAAATTCATGAAGAGCAGAGAGTGAAAGGGGTCAGGGCAGGTAACACCTCTCCTCCACTCTACCTCTAATGTCCAGCCAATCCAGCCCACTCCACACACTCTGGAAATAACAGATAACTTCAAAGAAAGCAGAAAGGGGCTAATGTATGTTGAGTACTGATTACATGGCTGACCCTGACTTAGGTGACCAGGCATACATTACCTAGTTTGATTCTCAACAATTAACAGAAAATAAAGCTTTGACAAGAGAAGTCAGTTGTCCCAGGTCACTTGCTAGTGAGGGGCAAAGCTGGAATTCAACCCTAGGTATCCAAAATTGGTCAGTGGTGTTATTTTAGGTACCCTTTACTCCCTCTGTTGCTGACTGACCACTCTCTGGAGGAGGAATATGGGGAGGAGATAGTCACAGGCAGGGGATGCTGTCAAGGATACCTGTATAAGTGCGGATGACATCAATCCCTGCCCCTCCCATTCCCACTCTCTCTCCTGAAGGTGGGGATAGGGAGCGGAAGGGAGGGGGAAGGTGGGCGGGGAATCCACAAAGAAGATGGGAATGCTGAAGTATGTGGCTGTACTCACAGCTCCCCTCCCCCATACTCTCCTAAACATACGAGAGAGGGTCTCTGTCCCTAGGAAGGCCGTCTTCTCAACCTTCAGATCCTCATCCACCATTTCAAGCTTCTTCAGCAAAAGCTAAGGTGGAAAGGATCTCTTAAACACTTAAGCCTCCACATCTGTAACCCTCCCCCAGCCAGTCCAGCCAGCTGTGCAGACTCTGGGTAGAAGGAAACCTTCACAATCAATCCCATCCTAAGTAACAAAGGGGAGCAGGACCCCCTGCCCAGTTTAAGCCACATGCCCTTCGGAGGGGAATACCAGCTCAGGCCCCCAGTGGCCGCTACTCCTGGAGCCCACCCTGAAGTTTAAGAAAGAGAAGCTAGCAGCTGGGGACCCCCCAGAAGGGAGGGGGCCAACTCTCCTTTCCAGACAGCTCCCCTCCCTCCCCCTGCTAATAGATATTTCCTGTTTATGAGGCAGCCAAGGCTGGGCTTTTGGGAAGGGACGGAGAGGGAGGAGCAGTCCCCCCCCTTCGGCTGGGTTGGGGAGTCCTTGAATAGTGCCTGAAGGTTGGGAGGCTCCTCCCTGGGGAAGGAGTGTTCCTTACATTGACCGTCCAGATCATCCTTCCACACACCCCACTCCCGCCGTGGCCAAAGGCCCTACGGGTAGGGTACACTGGAGGGGTCTGCTTCCAGGTCTCCCCAGTCGCCAGGCCTTCAAAGGAGACCGGCTTCCAAGCGAGGGGCGGGAGGCAGGGGGCGGGGTGGGGAAGGCCAAGACTGGATGGAGAAAGGGGGAAGGGAGTAGAGTGTCTTGACTGATGAGTCAGAGCCTGCAAGGGGGGGAGGACAGCCTGCTCATTCCCACCTCCCCAGTCCACCCAAGCGGCCATTCCGTTGCCCCTTCCCCCCGCCCCCCAGCAAAACGCAGATCCTGGGCCCTTAGGCGGAGAAGGGCAGGAACCCCACTTAATTAACCCTTTTAGCTCTAGTCCCAACCGGTTTAACAGGCAAGGGAGGGGTGGTTAATTTAGAGAGGAGGTGAGTTGACGGGTTGCTACAAGAATTAGGATAGTGGTCCTTTCCCCACCCAGGTTGAGATGGGGGGAGGAGGATCCATAACAAGGATCCCGAGTAAGACTGCAGTCTCAACAGACAGCATGGGTGGGGGGTTGGGGGGTCAGCAGTCCCTCTTCCCTCTCAGTTCGTTGCTGGGGTGGAGAAAGAGCTACACCTCATAGCCCACCCAGGCTCCGCCTCCCCGAGTCCCGGCTCCCGCTCCGGCTCATTTACGGCTCCCAACCTGGCAGCGCCGGGAGGACACACAGTGCGAGCCTATGTCTCCTATCCCTCCCCCTCGCCCTCCTTCTCTGGGGTCTCTGTCTCCGTCTCCTTTTTTAAAAGCTGCGTCACATGCTTGCCGTTCCTTGAACGCCCCTGGCCCCAAGCAGCGCGCCCGCCCGCGGCGCGGGGCTTGCACGTCGTCGCTCGCTGTGCGCCCGCCCGGGTCACTTTGACACCGCTCTCCCCTCCCACTAGCAGGCAATTAGCATATTAATAAAGCCCGGCCCAGCCCCGCTAGGGCCGGGGAGCGGGCGCCTACGATAGCGGGAGGGAGGAGTGGGAGACGGGAGCGAGCGGCGGCGGCGGCGGCGTTGGCAGCGAGAGCTCACAGACACGCACACGCGCACACACAGACACACACTCGGGGGACGCACACCCGCGCGCACACACGCAGAGGCAGCTCGCCTTCCTGCCTGGCTTCCTTCCTGTCTGCTCCGCGCCTGACAGGCTCCTCGCTGCAGCTAGGGCCCGCCCGCATAGGGCAGAGGCCGGGCCTGGCCGGGCCGGCGGCGAGGGCAGCGGGGGCCGCAGGCGGCGGCGGCGGCTCATGCCCGGCTTGTCCCCGCGCGGGGCGGGCACCGTGACTCGGCTGGGCCCCCAGCGGCGGGCGATGTGAAGATGTCAGTGGGCTGTGCCTGTCCTGGTGAGTGGGGCGCACGGCCGCCCGGCCCCTCCCTCCCTTACCCTCTTCGCGGATCCCTCACCCCTTGTTTGGCGAGAACTTGTGTGTGGGGCGTCGATGGCATGGCGGAGGTAGGGGGCTGCGAAGGGTATGTGGGACCTCAGTCTGGAGGGGAGGGTTTTCCCCAACTATGTAAATGCGCAGCAGCCTGGAGGCGCGGGGTGGGGGTGCTGGGGGTAGCTTGTGTGTAGATTTTTTGTGTGTCGGGGGAGAGGCTACTTGAGGAGGGGTTTGGGGGGCTTAAATTCCCAGAATTCCAGGGTGTTAGCCAATCAGAAGTGAGTCTAGACTTTTGACCCCCCCCAGGTCACCATAGAGTTGTGATTGGCTGGTTTGGGTTGCCCCCCCACTTGCTGCCTATTCCCTCTTACAGATCCTGTGACACCCCCCTCCAGGCTGTTTTTGAGGACGGTGTTTTGGGGGAGGGATTAATGGGGGCCCATCTTCCCCCACCTCCAAATTTCCCCGCCTGTTGCCAGGGACGGTTGGCTCTCTGGAGGGACAGGAGGTACTCCGGGAGGGGGCAGATAATTGGGCCCTGGGGTCTGGCATCAGCGCCCTGTGGGAGAGGGAATGTGGCAGCCCCAGGCAAGCTAGGGACTAGAGTGATTTGTGAGAGTTGAGGGGAGCAATGCTTGACCCCAAATCGAGAACTTAGACTCAGATTCCTGCCTCCCCCAAGCAGAGTTCTTGCCAGTGACAGCCTGGATCTGATTGTTTACTGGGGAGGGGAAGGCTCTCCCTGCGAAGAGGAAAGAGAGGCAACGTGATTGTAGAGGTAGTTTTCAGAGGACCTCAGGACCTCAGAACACTGTCCATGCACTTCCCCAGGACCCTGGGTTCTTACATTTCTTTTTTTTTTTTTTTTTAAATTGACTTTTAGAGAGGTGGTAGGGGAGGGGAGAGAGAGCTAGAGAGGGAGAGGGAGGGAGGGAGAGAAAGAAACATAGATTTATTATTCTACTTATTTATACATTCATTGGTTGATTCTTTTATGTGCCCTGACTGGGGATCAAACCTGCAACCTTGGTGTATCAGGTTGATGCTCTAACCAATTGAGCTACCCAGCTGAATTGTTTGCAGGCCCTGCTCCCGTCCCAGGCTGAAGTTAGCTTTCTTCTTTCCATCTGAAAGTCAGGTGTCCCTGACTTTCTAGCTTGGTTCGGGTCCTTTGCTCTTTTAGATTCCCTGTTTTCTGGGAGGCCCATACCCCACGAGTGCCCCCAACCCCAATCCTCAAGGGAAGCTGCCAGTGAGGAAGCTTCCTTGAAAATCATGTGACCCAAGCCATTCTGGTCTGGGCACACACTTAAAGTGCCTGCTGAGACTGATGTTTCAGGGGCCCAGGGCCCAGAGGGAGGGCTAGTAGAGCCTGAGGATTCTGGAATATCTAGGTGTGGGAACCCCTGGCTCCTGTTGCAGAGGGTGGGGGAGAGGACAGGAAAGAGTTTACTAAGCTGGAATCTTGCCCGGCCCCATCATTCCTCCTCATAACCAGCTTGGTGTGAATATTTGTGTGTGTATTTTTTTCAAAGAACGGCCCCATGCTGGGTACCTTGGTTGGATCCATCCATACTCTCAGTCCACCCCATGACCTTGATCCTCCACTGCCTCACATGAGCATAGTAGGAACTAAGGCTCTGAACAGGCAAGGGGCCCAAGTCTTACATTTTGAATCTTAGTTTCTACAAATAGTGGGCAAGAGGGGTTGTCAGGTTGGAGAGAGGTTGGCCCTGAAGTTGGGGCAGGGTGCCTGGGTCCAGCAGAGAAGGGAGAAAGTTTCCTTCTCAGCCTGTCTGGGAGCAGCATGGGACCAGGAAGAGGACTTGTGCACAGGTGTGTGTGTGTGTGTGTGTGTGTGTAAGGGCATCTTCAGTCAGCACCCCAAAGGACATGTTCCATTTGTGTGTCTAGTGGCCTGGTTGGGGGAGAGGGGGCAAAAGATGTCTAAGAGCAGGGAATCTTTTTACCCAATGTGAAGAAGTCTTATGGGTTGATGCCACAGAGGATGGATAGAGGTTCGACTTAAAGGAGAACCACATGCAGAGAGGTTTGAGAGTGGCCTGGGGGTGGGGAATGGCAGGAATTGGGGTAAGAGAGGGGACCAGGCTTGCATGGGTGGGTGGGAGCACATGGTTGAACACAAGGGCATCAAAGCAGCATGTACAGTCCAGGTCCAAAGACCCCTCCCCAAACTGGAGCAGCCCTAGGGTGGGCGCCCAGGCGCCCTGGCAGGCCGCCCGCCTGCTGCCTGCCTGCCTGCCTGGCTGTCTGAGTCTCTCCTTTGTGCTCTGCTGTCTCCCAGCTCCTCCTCCTCCCCTAGCCCAGCAGAGACAGCACATGCCCCACACATGTGACTGAGGGAAGCCAGAGCACACACAGACCCACACACATGCACACGCAGAAGGAACACCACAAGATATATACACACACACACCCCCAGCTCCCATGGTGCTTCTGGGGTGGGGAATAGCTTCTGGGGCTTTGGTCAGGAGTAGATAGAACCTCTGCTAAGGGACATCACCCTGGGTAGGGCAGGTTGCTGAGGGAGCCAGGGCCTGTCTGGGGCAGCATGTGGCTCAGAAGGGTTAAGGCAGGGAGGAGTAGGGGGAGGGGAGGAGGCAGCAGTGGTGGCGGCTGGGAGCCAGGAGAAGAGGATGGCAGAGCGCCAGGCCAACGGGAGGCCGGGCACAGACAAAGGAAGGGGGGCAGGCACACTGGAGGCCTGGGTCAGGGAGCCCCAGGGGCCCGGGCAGGGGGCAGTGCTAGTACCTTATCCTGAAGGCTACTGCCCTTCAAAGTCCTCACCTCCAGAAGGGGGGCTCTCTCTCTACTCTTTCTTCATCACCTTTGTCCTTTGATGCCTCCCATCCCCACCCCGACTACTAGGGCTTTCTAATTCAGACCTGCTCTCTTTAGCTGGACCTCTCCTGCTCCTGTGAAAGTGGGGGAATTAAGTCAGAACATAGAGAGGGGCAGACTTGCTAGAGAAGGAAGTAGGAGGGGGCCCATTTCAAATGATATGCCAGAGTCTTGGTATGTACATCATCTTGGTGTTTAAGGTCCCTTCCCCCCTAAATTTGAGGAGACATAGTGGGTAGGGGTTCTGCACCCTGAATTGGGGGCAGAAGCCAGAGCACACACCTATACCCCTTCCCATGTAGACAGTCATTTTTGGGCCTGGAGTGGCCGTTCTTTGGAGGGGAAGAGAGTAGGAATCACTGCAGTGCTCCAGGGCTGGGCTTAGATGGGTCAAGTTAGAAATCCAGGGCCTCAGGCTTTTCTGTCTTATTATAATCTGTTCTAGTTAGGCTGATATTTGGCCCCATGTGCTGTACTTTTGAGATACTGCCTATGAATACACTTTGGAAAGTTTAAAGGCACCAAACAAATGACAGGAATTGTCAGTAGTGGGGGTTATCTTAGAGTTGGGCTGCAAACTTGGGTCAGTGAGAATGTCTCAAGTCCTGGTGTAGGTAGTATGTTGTACAAACTGGCTGAATGCCAGAGATTTTGGTGTTTTTGTGAAAACCTGGGTGTATCATGGCCAGGCCATGGTAGAGAACAGTGTGCAGGTTTTGGGAAGGGTGGTAGTTTATGGGGTTAATGCCTGGGTGGTAACGCATTGTCAGGACGTGTGTGTAAGTCTGTCACAGGTTCAGGAGGTATATAAGGCACTTTTGGTGTGTCCATTGGGGTCAGGGCGTGCATGTCACTAGTCCCAGTGTGTATGGACATCAGGATCTGACGCATCTGTATATGTGTGTGCATCTTGGGTTTGGGTTTATTTAGAGCTTGAGGTATGTATGTTTCAGGTACTGATTTATGTGAAAGTGAGATGTGTTACTTACATGTGGAGGGTGTTCACAGACCCAGGTGCAGGACATTCTTGCTGCACAGCCAACTGGTGTGTGAGTCAGGAGGAACCCTGTCCTGGGGCTGTGAGTGAACGTGGTGGGGGTGAGCAGGGAATAGGGAGCAGCGACTCAACCTGCAGTGAACTAGGCTATATGCTGCCCCCTTCTGTGTGTGTGTGTGTGTGTGTGTGTGTGTGTGTGTGTGTGTGTTTCTGTGTTTCTTTTTTCCTGTCTGTCAGGGAGTAGGGCCTGGACCACTACCCAAGTTTTAGAAATACCCCCTCTCTTGGGAATCCCCTTTGCATTGGAGAAGAGCTCCTACCCCAGTAACCACACACCTTTTTTCCTGGGGTGGCGGGGAGGATTCAGCAGCAGACCAGGCCCCCTTCTGGGGATCCTTGGTTGGGCAAGTTTGCCTTCCCTAGCTCTGACAGCGCCTCTTTCCCCTGCACCCACGTGTCTCCGGTGGTGGTGGCTGCGGTGGGGGAAGGAGCTTCCTGTTAAGGCAGATCAGGCTGGGAACTCGGCTGGGTTGGGGGCCCAGGAGCCTGGAGTGTACCCCTCCCTTCAGCCAGGTGTTTATAGGCTGAAGTCAGAGTGTATCTCTGTCAAAAACAACCCCCTGGAGTCTCCCTCCCCCGCAGGTAGTTGCTCTGGGATTTCACCAGGGGCTGCAGCCCAGGGTGGCAAGAGAGACTTGGGGCACGTTTGGGAGGTGGTTTGTAGGTATTGGGAGTCTCCAGAGAGGAGAGCACCCTCCTCCATCCCTGCCTGTAGCTTTGGCTCCCCTGCTCACTCCTGGGCACCACACTCCGGGCTTGGAGCGAGCAGTCAGTTCCCGGTCCCCACAGGCCTTCCCTCCACCCAGGTCTCTCCAGGCCCAGTCTGTTTTGTTTCCATCTCTCCATCCCAGTCTCTTCCAGTCTCTGTCTCTCTTTTGTTTTTCTCAGCAGTCCTGCCTGCCTGCCTGCCTCTTGCGCTCCCGCGCCCTCCCTCTCGCTCTCCCTCTTCCTCTTCCCTGGCTGGGAGGGGGCGGGGCCGGTGGGGGCAGCTCCACCCTCTGCCCGCCCTGGGGCCTCATTCTGAGAGGCTCCGTGAGCGAGCAGGGAGGGAAGGAAAGAAAGGGAGAAAAGGCTGAGAACGGGTGGGCGCTGCGTGTGTCTGTGCGTGTGCGGTTGTGAGTGAGTGTGAGTGCCGGGCCGTGCCTGGTCTGCTGCCCCGGCAGAGGGGCCTGGTGGCCTGAGGTGGGCAGGCGGGCTGCTTGGAGGTAGAGGCAGTGTGAGGCGGCGGCGGGTAGAGCCGAGGAGGAGGAGGAGGAGGAGGAGAGAGGAAAGAGCGGAGCAGCCATTGTTGAGGGAAACCTTGCAAACAAAGAAGGCTCCAGACTCCCTGCGGCCCCCCGCCCCCCAGGCCGGCCCCCTGGCCCCCGGTCCTCGGCCCAGTGGCCATTGTAACTTTCCCCCGGGGCTGTGGCCGCTGCGGGGCAGACCAAGGCTGTGCGTGCAAGTCTTTGTGCGGCCCACGGAGTGGAGCTCCCGGCCAGGCCTGCCCGTCCCACTCGGGACATGAGCGGCTGAAGTTGGCCCCCCTTCAGTCCTCACCCCTGCCAGGGCCCTGGTGGGCTTCCAGTTGCTCCCGCACCTCTCCTGGCCCCCTCAGTTCTCCCAGGTAAGTCTGGGCACCTTGCAAGCTGTAGGGGGTGGGTAGAAGAAGGTCCTGGGTCAGGCACTGGCCTGGTATGCTGGCTGGGGGAGAGGTGCCTCAGCTGAGAGAGGCCAGGGCTTCCAGGCCTACTGACCTCTGGTCAGCCCCAAAAGGGAGGCAGGCTGGTTACCATGGAAATGCCCAGCTGGAGCTGCCCCCCTCAGTCCTGGGATGCAGCTTCCATCCTGGGAAAACTTTACTAGTTCTGGGCTCTTACTCTCTCCTCCTTCCCAAGGGTTCCCAGGTTGCTGGAGGTGGGAGGGGGGCTATGTCTGACTCCAAGACTGGATGACATAGCCCTTTCACCCCCACCCCCACTTTTCCCCTCCACCCCTGCTGCTGAGGACAGGCAGCAACAGGGACAGATGGTCTGGGTGATGTTCCCTCCCCTTCTCTTCTCACTCTCAAGCCCTTGTGCCGGAGCTACTGGGAGTTGCCATGCCTCTGGAGAGATGCTGAGGGTTTTTGCGTCCATTCACTAGAGGTGTAAATCAAGGCCATAGAGCTTTGGATTTTTGCCCCTCAGAATTGTTCCCTGGGCCCAGACTGTGCCTTTTAGTTGACTAGTGAGCGAAATTGAAGCTCTGAAACTTCTTTCAGAGTTAGAGAGGAATCCAGGTATCCTGCCTCACTTGTTTTTATGGTCTTGAGCTGACACATTTCTTCAAGTGGCTCTGAAACTGAGGGGCAAGGGCAGTGATGCTTTTGCGGGGAGGATGGCCTGGTCAGGCCCACGTCTGATCATCTAGACTCTTGGGTTCGTTGCCCAGGCCTGGCCTCTGGTGAGCTGCATGAGTTGTGGCTTCCCATATATGGCTTCGGTCTACCTGCCGGTGGAGTGTGGAGACTTGGGGGTGGTGGGACTGTCTCTTCCTTGAGGACACAGGCTCCTCATTCAGTCCAGAAGGGCATGTGAAGGCTGTGTATGCCGTGCTGGGAGCATATGGATGTGGCCTGTGAGAGCTCATGGGTGGGGCAAGGGCCTGTTTTGGGCACAGCGATCCTGCCTGGGGCTGCTGGGTTCCAGCCCTTGGTAGGCATGTTGGGGCGAGCTGAGGATAGAAGCCTGCTCAGCAGGATGAGGCACACACATGTGCAGGTACACGCAGGCTCTGACTCTTGGCACCTTCAGGGACTGTGTAGTGCAGGCCTCTCTGGGACCCTCCTTTTGCCCATATTGTGAGGAAGGTTCCCTGGGGAGAGAATTAAATGACAGACATTGGCACAGGGTCTTCCTTTGTCTCTTCCCCCTGAGGAGTAAAGTAGATTTTGTGTCTAGATTGGAGAGGAGGCTAAGACACAACCAGTACAGCTACCCTTCCAAATGCAATCAAGTTTGGGACCATGAGGAAGCAGCTCTAACTGGGGTCAGGACCTTTGGAATGGTGCCTCAGTTTTCCGTCATCTTGGAGGGTGGGGAGTGAGTGATAGCATTGCAGGGGTACCTGTCTCATACCCAACTGTGAATCTGACACTCCTCCCAGTCAGGTAATACAGTACACCAGGAACTGCATACTTCTAGGTGAGGGGGCATCCCGCACGTGCACAGGTACGAGTAGAGGTCCCTGTCCAGTTACCACTTACATCCTAGACTGAGCCCCTGGAACCTAACCTCCTTCCCAGGCCTCCTCTTTTCCTTTTGTAAATAGAGTGAGATGCAGTGGAGGCCCCTCTACCTTCCTCCTGTGCTGTAAGTCTTAGAAGACAGAATGGGTTAAGGCTTTGGGTTTCTCTGGTTTGGAGACAATACCAGACTAGTGGTGGGTGTGGAAGAGGGGGTCAGGCTGATAAGGGAGTCGCCGTTGGTGGGGGGCAGTCAGAAGGCCCAACTGGTTATCTGGTGGGTGGCACCCAACAGGCACACCCCCCCCCCCCCTTTATCTTTCCATCCCCTGCCCTCCTGAGACCCTGGGTGTGGAGGAGGGGCAGGGAGCTGGCCAAATCCCCTCTTTTCTCCCACAACTTGATCTCCAGAGGTCAAAAGAAGGGTGGAAATACTTCAGGATATGGAATCAGAGGGTCTGGCCCCAAGTCCTTAGTTCTATGATCTTGGCAAGACCCCTTGAGCTTTCAGTTGTGTCATCTGTAAAATGGGAATGTTACAGCTGACCCTGCTGCTTCATGCCATGGTGGTGATGATCGAACAAAATAATGTAGTTGAGCCCCGACTGGTGTGGCTCAGTGGGTTGGGCGTTGCCCTGCAGACCGAAAGGCTAGTTCCATGCTCGGTCGGGGCACATACCCGGGTTACAGGCCAGGTCCCTGGTTGTGGGCATGTGGGAGGCAACCAGTTGATGTTTCTCTTGCACATGGATGTTAGTCTCCCTCTCTTTCTTCCTCCCTCCCCTCTCCTCTCTCTAAAAAAAGTTAAAAAAAAAATAATAATGTTGTTGAAAAGGGGTTTATTAAAATTCGATTCTAATGTTTGGGTATTTACTTATTCTGTGGTATTGGCATTTCTTCCCAGCTTTAATTCTGTCATCCAGGCCTCAGCCACATGAAGAAATAAGGTCTTGGGTGTTGGGGCTGGGTACTTCTAGTTTCTTAATAACACAAAGTTGGAGCCAGATTTGAAAGCAGAGGTAGGTGCTTCTTAGGGTAGTCCCCCCTCCCCTAGTTCTCCCCTAATTCTCTCTGGCTCCAGGAGACCAGTCCCTGTTCACTTAGTCTAGTTAACTTCAGGAGAGTTCCAAAGAGGGACTCAGGTCCCCTTTTTTCTTCCTTTGCCTTCTAGGTTGTTCCTCAAAGTCATTCAAGCTGTACTCACCGAAGGAGCCCCCGAACGGCAACGCCTTCCCCCCATTCCATCCGGGCACCATGCTAGATCGGGATGTGGGGTGAGTCTTGTTCACTTCTCATCCCTTTTCCAGGTGGAATCCTACCTAAATAGGGGAGGGAGTTATACCCCCCAGTAATTCCTGTCTTCCACCCCCATTCTCATAGCCTCTTCCCTTACACAGCCCAACCCCCATGTATCCACCGACATACCTGGAGCCTGGGATTGGGTAAGTGGAGTCCAGTGGGATAGGAGGTACTTTCCATTACATGGGTGAGGGCAGACTTGGGCGGTTTGGGGAGGTTCTGCTTCTACTAACCTCCCTTCTTTACTTACCCCAGGAGACACACACCATATGGAAACCAAACTGACTACAGAATATTCGAGCTTAACAAACGGCTTCAAAACTGGACAGAGGTATCCAGAAGAAAGAGGAGGGAGAGGGCCATCTGGGCACCGCAGTGGGATGTCTTCTGATACACACCGACACCTTTCCCTGTGCTCTTAGGAGTGCGACAATCTCTGGTGGGATGCTTTCACAACTGAGTTCTTTGAGGATGATGCCATGTTAACCATCACTTTCTGCCTGGAGGATGGACCAAAGAGATACAGTGAGTGGCCTCTGGGGGTTCTGCCAGTTCTGCTGTGGGAGTGTATACCTCCTGTGTCCTTCCAAGGCCTGGGAGTGGATATTTGTTCCAGGGTATCTGTTTTGGCAGGAGTGGCATCTGCCTGACCTCTTTTGAGGTCCTACTGTTCTGAAGAGTCTTTCCCTTCTCTACAGCCATTGGCCGGACCCTGATCCCACGCTACTTCCGCAGCATCTTCGAGGGGGGTGCTACGGAGCTATACTATGTGCTTAAGCACCCCAAGGAGGCATTCCACAGCAACTTTGTGTCCCTCGACTGTGACCAGGGCAGCATGGTGACCCAGCACGGCAAACCCATGTTCACCCAGGTCAGCAGTCCAGATGGATGTGGAATGCCGAAGCACCTGGGTCTGATTCCCTTCCCCCTTCCCAAAATGTACTCAGCTGTTCCCCACGGAGGCATACTGGGGCATGGCCAGATAAGAAGGGGGGCAGGGGTGCCACCGCATTCAGGAGGCATTTACCGAGCTTGTATATGACTGTATTCTGGGCCACCAGGGTGTGCACATCAATGAGTAAGAGCCTGCCCTCATAGGAAGCTTATAGCAGATGAGTGTATCAAACTGCATGGGAGAGGACAGGACTGGTTAAGCATTTCTACTCAGTTTGTGGTGTGTGCAAGGGTCAAGGGTATAATAGTTCTGTGAGGGGATGGTCCGTGCCAGTTGTACACCCAGATTTGGATGCAGGTGGCAGAAGTATATGTGGCGGGGGAGTTGTAAGCAAATGTGGAACAGGTACACTTTTGTGTATGGGGGAGGGGCAGAGCTGTGACAACCTTGTCTCCAGGTATGTGTGGAGGGGCGGTTATACCTGGAGTTCATGTTTGACGACATGATGCGGATAAAGACATGGCACTTCAGCATCCGGCAGCACCGGGAGCTCATCCCCCGCAGCATTCTTGCCATGCACGTGAGTGTGGGCAGAAACCAAGGCGAAAGGGGGAGGGCAGACAGTGGGAAGGACAGAATAAGGTCTCGTATCCTGACAGTGACCTTAAAGGGTTAGAGTTTCTCCACCTGAAAAATGGACTTCATAATAGTCCCTCTTCTCTTTCAGGAGTGTCACAGGCTCAGATGATAGGGCAGGTGAGCAAGTGCAACCCAGGTGCTAGCACTGTTGTCTTTCTCCTCCCCTAGGCCCAGGACCCCCAGATGTTGGATCAGCTCTCCAAAAATATCACACGGTGTGGGCTGTCCAATTCCACTCTCAACTACCTCCGAGTGAGTCTGATCACTCAGTCTCTGCCCCCTCCCATTGACTGAGCTTCGTGTCTCTCTCCTGACAAGCCCCCTCCTGGTCTCGCCACAGCTGTGTGTGATACTCGAGCCCATGCAGGAGCTCATGTCCCGCCACAAGACCTACAGCCTCAGCCCTCGTGACTGCCTCAAGACCTGCCTTTTCCAGAAGTGGCAGCGTATGGTAGCACCCCCCGGTGAGTGCCTTGGGCCTGTACCTGCTTCTGCCAGGACCTGATGCCATCCCCCAAGGCTCTGTCTATCTCCTTGTGAAGCCCTGTCCTTGCTTTTGGGTCTGCAAGACTGGCATCGGGGTAGGCTCAGGCTTCTTAGGAGCCAGCATGGGGTGCCAGGGGCCCAGCACCCTGCTCCACCTGAGTCTCCTTTTCCTGGCACAGCGGAGCCCGCCCGGCAGCAGCCCAGCAAACGGCGGAAACGGAAGATGTCAGGGGGCAGCACCATGAGCTCTGGGGGCGGCAACACCAACAACAGCAACAGCAAGAAGAAAAGCCCAGCCAGCACCTTCGCCCTCTCCAGCCAGGTACCTGTAAGCATCTCGGCTTTCTTCTCTCTTCTGGGCTCCCCCACTGCTGACCCCTGACCCTTGACCCTGTCCCAGTGTGAGCTTACCAGCAGGCATAGAAGCAGAGACAGTTTTCCCAGCGTGCTCTGCCAGAATGGGCTGGCTGATTCCTATCACTGATGAGAGTCCTTGTTAGTCACATGTGTGGTATGATCACACAGACTCAGACATAGCAATACAGATGTGAAGGGAGAGAGTTAGCCACAAGAACACACGGACGCTCAGGACAGACAGCTTGGGAGCACACAGACCGTCGGAGACACAGACACTCACTCGCAGAGGGACGTGCATCCTCATTGTGTGTCGATCTAGACTATATGAACATGCACACACCTGCCCCACTGGTGTTTTTGATCTGCTCCCTCTCTTACATGTGGACAGAAGTTTAGGAGCCCCCTAAAACTTCGGGGAGATGGACTGGGGAGCTAGGGGAGTAGATTGACTTTTCCCCAGGATCTAGTGGATGTGTATTACAGAGCATGGTGCTCTGCAGTCCTTCAGTGGGAAGGATTCCGAGGGCTGAGGGTGTCAGAGGAGTTGATGTTTTAAATTGGGGTATGAGAAGGGGGTGGGGGTGTTGAGTTTTCTGGGTGGGTATTGGGGCTCTGGGGGTTTCTGCTGCCCTGGGCTGGGCGAGCCCCTGCCCCGATTATGTTTGGGGACCTCCGCCACTCTCAGGATGTGATGGTGGTGGGGGAGCCCACCCTGATGGGCGGGGAGTTCGGGGACGAGGACGAGAGGCTCATCACCCGGCTGGAGAATACCCAGTTTGACGCAGCCAACGGCATTGACGACGAGGACAGCTTTAACAACTCCCCTGCCCTGGGCGCCAACAGCCCCTGGAACAGCAAGCCTCCATCCAGCCAAGAAAGCAAATCGGAGAACCCCACATCACAGGCCTCCCAGTAAAGGCTTCACCAGGGCCACCCAGCGCTCTGCCTGCCTGCCCCACCCCTTGAAGCCCCAGGGAGCAGAAGACAGAATGAAGAGACTGAGCATCTAAAATGGGCAGCCTCCATCCACCCACTTCAGGGAGGAACTGGACTCACTGGGGGCAGGTGCCAAGATTTGCCCCGCAGTGGCTCTGGGCTGGGCCTGGCCTCTGCAGAGCCTTTTGGGGGAAGGAGGTACTCATGTGGATGTCTGTGTGGACCCTGGGCCTCTGAGAAATGTCCTGACCACCCCCCAGAGCATTTGCCTCCATCCTCACCCCATGGGTTCCCCATCCTCCTGACTCAACCCTCTTCGAGCCTGGGCTGTCTATCCTCACAGCCCTTAGGGACATAAAGTTATGGCGCTTGGTTGAGTGCCCTTCCCCAGACCCTCCCCCTAGGTGGCTGGAAGTAGAGGGGTAAAGCTCTGGCCTCCTCCTCTCTTCCACCACCTATCCCAGCTCCAAGTTTTTAAAAAAATAATATTATTAAAAATGTAAGTTAAAAAAATCACTCATGTCCCCCCCCCCTCCTCTTCCCCTTATTAAAAGTCCAGCTACCTCCCTATGCCTGGCAGATGCAGGGTTTGGGGCCCAGGTGGAGGTGAGAGTATCGGTAGGGTAGGGGGGTATATGTTACCATTTTATATAGTTTGAGAGCTTCAGACCAAGGAGACACTTCGCCATCTCTCTTCCCTTTGCCTCTGGGATAACTGGAGTTGGGAAGGCATGCCATGGGGTAGGGGGCCATTGCTTTGGAACAGCTCCCAGCTGTTGTCTCTGTTTCCCCATCCTCCAGGACGCTTGCTCGTAACTCCCTCAGTCCCAGCACCGCAGTCCTCTGCCGTCCCCCACCTGTGTGTATATTCGTTACAAGCCTCCGCTAAAGCAGCTGTCTTGGATGGGGCAGGAGGAGGCTCCCTCCCTTGGGGAGTATGGAGGGAAGGAGCAGCCCAGTTTGTCACTGTGTTTTTTGTTTTGTCTCAGTTGGGTAGGCATGGCTTAGGGGAAGGGCTCATCCACTCCCTCAGATTGCAAATCTAGTCCTCCCCTGCTCTCCACAGTGGGGAGGGAGCCACTGAGGGTGTCCCACCTCTAAGCTGGAAGCATTAGGGCTCTGTTCCCCAGCTGAAGTAGAGGGTGTTCATCTTCCCAAATCCCCTCCAGTCTTTGCTCTCATAGAAGGGAGGGGAAAGCTGCCAGAGCCCTCAGCTGTACTGCAGTTGGACACGTGGAGGTTCAGGGCCCAGGGTGAGGCCAAGAGTAGGGCCCCATGAGTCTGGGGCCAGCTCTGGCTTTGTTGCCTTTTCCTGTGGTGAGTTCCAGAAGTGCTAGTACCACCTATCTTCCCAGTCCTTCTTCTGGATTCTGGGGCTCTTTCCACTCTGTTTCCTTCACTTTAGTTGCCACTGCTGGAGGGGTGTTGTGTCAGGAGCTGAGGGAAGGGATGGGGAAGAGGGATGGCCCACTCCAACTGTAATGCCTTTTTTTCCCTCCATTTGAGTCATGTATGGTACTGATCAATAAAGAGACTTTTCAGTTTGAGCGTGTCTTGGTTGGTCATTGATGCTCAGTAATGACTCAGCCCAAGACAGTCTTTCCCCTCCCTCCTGCAGTCCTAAGACCTGCCATTGGGAAGGAGGTATGAATTGGATTTAGGACTCCCTTTCACTCCCATCTCACATTCCCCCTTATTCTTCTGGCGTCGTCGGTCCTTAGGTGTCCTAGCCTGGCCCCCTCTCCCTCAAAAGTTCACTTCCCACTCCACACTGTTCCTCACTCCTGTCATGGGGTTGCCAGACAGGTGACCCTCCTGAGGCAGTGTTCCTGGGATGGCCTGTCCTGGCTTAGGTTCTTGGGGGTGGGTGGGGAATGGCATCCTTGCCTCAGAGAGTACTCTGAAGGAGTTGGTGGTTAGAGTGCCTGAGAGGTTCAGTCAGTGAGATTCCTGCCCCTACCGGGGAGGCTGAGTAGCCCGGTTCCCTAGGGGAAGTCAGAGTAGCGGGATTATCTGTCTCCTTGCTAACTTTGGATGAGGGCGCAGAGGGAGAGAGGAGGACACAGGCTCCTTTCCAGGCAGTTACTCCCGCTCCCCCACTCCTCTCCTCCCCTGCCATTAAAGAAGATTGGCAAGATGGACACACTACTCTGAATTGGGGGTGGGGTCTCAGTACCTACAAAGCCCCCTATCCAGTCTCCCTCATTTTCATCCCAGGCCGGGGAACATGAGGCCTCAGACTATGGTCCCTACTAAGGTCTCTGGATCTGGAGTAAGGCCTCATGGACCTGCCTCCACCCTCACCTCCCAGCTGGCAGAAGAAACCAGAGGACAGGACTTCATGGCCTGCCCCGCCCCCTCTCCAATTCAGTAGTGACCTTGGCCCTGCCCTGCTGCCAGCCCAGCTCCTTTTCATTGCCCCAGTGCCTCAGGACCCCAAGGCCTACATTTGCACGCACAGAAACACACCACTCCTCTGCAGGCCAGACCTGACTGAAGGACATTTGCCAGCCAGCCGCTACCACCAACTCCCCGTGGGAATGCTAGGTAACACCTACATGGAGTGTGTCTGTCCAGTACTGGGTGTACATATGGCCTTTTTGCCTAAGTGTGTGCCAGGGTATGTATGTATGGGACTGCTGAGCTGGGAGAGGGTTTAGATATATGTATGTAATGGAACATACACGTGTGAATATGTATGTGGGATAGTATATGCAGTTGCTTATGGTATGTGTCTTGGTGGAGTCATTCCTTCAGCTAATCACTGAGCTCTCTCCAGGTGCCAGGCCCAACTCTAGGTGCTAGGGATACGGTTCTGAACCAGGCAGAGAAGGCATGATTGGTGTGAGTGGGAGGCTACAGATACAGAGATGAGGCTGTGGTGTTAAATGCATGGCTTAGCAGTGGGATTGTGTTGGGTCTGGGGGCTGCTCCGGCAGCAGTTGTGGAACTGGTTTGGGCATTTGAAAGCTCATAGTGTGTGTGTGTGTGTGTGTGTGTGTGTGTGTGTGTGTGTGTGTGTTGGAGGAAGTGGGGGTCAAGAAAAGTGAACTGCTAGGCTTGGACTCTGCCCTGCTGGGGGAAAGGAGGTCTGTCAGACGGGGAGACACTTTCTGAACTCAGGAAACATAGTGGCCAGCGACTTCCTCTGGAGCCCCTTGATCTGGCTCCTCCCTGTTTGCCTCAGCAACCTCGCTGAGCAAGGCCCTTACTCTGGAGGAATCTCTCTGGTAGGGGAAGGGCAGGCCCTCCAAGGCCATCATGGCCTCTGTTCCCAGGTGCAGGTGATGGCCCTACCCCAGGCCCCAGCGTGATACTGGAAAATTTGTTTTAGCCCAGCCAGGACCCACTGCAGACTCCCAGTTCAGCCTTGGTTCAGTTCCTCCTTCCCCATGTTTCCTACCCCAGCCCAATCCAGGCTGACCACTAGCTCCCTTTTTTAGGACTGATAGTCTAGTCCAGTATAACCTCCAGCCCCTCTTCATACCCTTATGCAAGCCCAGTCTACCCTCTAACCCCTTTCCCCAAAGGTTACACTGCAGCCCAGCCCACTTCAATCTGATCTCAAGTCTCATCCCCTTAAGGGGAAAGTTCTAAACTACCCTTGCAGGGCCTCTGCACATCCACCCCTCCTTTTTTTTTTTTTTTTTTTTTTTTAATTACAAAGTGGGGCCTTGCTTTGGGGATTAGTAGAGTAAAGGTAAAGGTGGAGGATTAGGAGCTACAGCCTGAATAAAAAAGGGAGATGAGGGCAGCAGGATGGCCCAGGCACCTTCTGGGCCAGGCTGACAGAAAAGGAATGTGTAAAAAAATTTTGAGTCAGAGGCCCCCTGCCTCCAAGCTGAGTTTCAAAGATGCTGTTTTTGACCCCTGCTGGGCACAGCTTCCAGTACCCAGAATGCTTACAATAACTGTCTACCATGTGGCCACAGCCCCATCCTCTCAGCACCCACTAATGAGACTCCTCCCTACCCCCATGCTGAGGTCTTCAGTGAAGCAGAACAGGAAATGGGTGGGAGACTATACACCCTGCAGTTCCCACCTTGGGGTGTGGGGGAAGAGGAGTGGGAATGGAAGCTGACCCACATCTCCAGGTTCCTACTCCAGCCTTGGGAAGGAGCCATTTCCCATCTAAAACCTTTTCTAGGTTTCTGCTCTCATGAAGAACACTTGTATGTGATGGTTTTTTTTTTTTAATTTTTTAAAAATATTTTTATTTATTTATCTTTAGAGGGGAAGGAAAGGAGAGAGGAAGAGAAATATCAATGTACGGTTGCCTCTCATGTGTCCCCTGCAGGGAACTGGCCCGCAACCCAGGCATGTGCCCTGGCTGGGAATCGAACTGTGATCCTTTGATTTGCAGGCCGGCGCTCAATCCACTGAGCTACACCAGCCAGGGCTGTATGTGATGTTTTTATTCCTATTTCCTATCTTACATTGCAGTTTTTTTTTGGTTCTATGTTTAGGTGTAATCTCTGAAAACTAAGGTTCTCCACCTCTGAAGCCCAGGCAGAGAGTTTATATGGGGTTAATGTGAATTAAAGTTCAAATGCTTGTTGAGTCCCTGCTGTATAAACTACTCTGCTCATCATTTGTTCAGCCAGTCAAATTCCAGCTACATTTAGTGAGTGTCTACAGCATGCCAGGAGCTGGAGATGGAATGGTGGACGAGACAGCATGGCTCATACAGTTGGGTGGGGAGGCTTCGAACAAATGGTCACATAGGAACGTCATTACTGAAGAGTGTAGCATAAACATATATTGGGGAGACCTCATTTAAGCTGGTTGGTGAAGGAAGGCCTCTCAGATGTATCTGCTGAGACTTGAAGGATGAGGAGTCCTCCTTAGCCAGGTGGAGCAAGTCGAGGAACAGACCCTCCTGCTGGGACGTGCTTGGCAGGTTAAAGGAACAGGACAGCAGTAGGTCCTGAGCCTGGCGAGCAAGGGGAAACGGTGGTGGGAAGAGGCTGAGGCCTCATGAGACAAGGCTGTGGTGTTGAAGATGAAGACGATGATGGTGACGATGAAAAAGATAACAGTTAATGTTTACACTAAACTAGGTTTTGTGGGAAATCCTTCGTATCAATGACCTCCCATCCAAATACTAACCAGGCCTGACCCTGCTTAGTTTCTGAGCTCAGACCAGAACCAGATCGAGTGCATTCAGGGTGGTGTGGCCGTAGATGGTACTAATGAACTCAGTAAAAGCCATCCACAACTCCTTGATGCAGGTTCTGTTATTATCTCTCATTAACAGGAAAGCACTAAAGGCCAGAAATGGGGAATCCAAGGCCAGCGAGGCAAGCAGCTTGCCCAAAGTCTTGGAGTCAGCAAGAATTTTGAATTATATCCAGACATAATGGGCTGTCACTGAAGGGGCTAAGACAGGTCACGATGAAGACCTGGTCCCTGCCTTCTAGAAACTTCCAGAGCCAGGGAAATCAGACCCTGCCACAATATGAATAAAAAGCACACATCAAGGAATAGAATTAAAGTGGGCAAAGTGTTAGAGACCTATAGGAAGAGAATTTTGTTGTGACCAAAGAGATCCAGGAAGGCCTCTTGCTGAAAGTGAAATGGACTTGCAGAAAGTGCTTGTTGGAAAGAGGCGGACCTGTGGCAAGTGATATCGGCAAGGACCAACTCTCTAAGTAGAGGGATAGCTTGAGGGAAGGCACTAAAGCAGGAGGGTGCAGGGGAAAGACAATAAAGCAAGTGTAGCTATAGCAGCAAGGGGTACACTGGGAACTTGAGGTGTCCGGGGAAGGAATGGTGGGCACACTGCTGGACGAAGGAATCAGGGAAACTGACTTCCACAGTCTTCCTAAGTGGTAGAGAGTTTTGAATGACAGGCCTAGAAGTTTAAACTTAATTTTATAGGGAGTGGGAAGCCACCAACAGTTCTTGAACAGAGAAGCGACTTAATTAGATCTGTTTTTAAATAAGATTAGTTTGACATGGTGTATAGGACTAGCGAAGATTTAGGAGGCCATGAAGTAAATGTAAGCAAGTATACTTAGAGGAAACAACATAGAATAATATTCATCAGCCTTCTAGGAATATGTGTGGGGAGGACAAACTTGAAAGTTTAAATACCATAGAAGAAGTCAGAAAGAAAAGAGTGAATTTCACCTCAATAAAAGAGTGACGGGTTTGGTTACCTACAGAGTAAATTTACAACTTTGGTAAGTGTGTGTATAAATAAAAAACAGCCCTGGTTGGTGTGGCTCAGTCGATAGGGCATCATACTGCAAGGCAAAGGGTCAGCAGTCAGGGCGCATGCCTGGGTTGTGGGTTTAGTCCTGGTTGGGGCGTGTGCGAGAGGTGGCTGATTGATGTATCTCTCACACATGATGTTTCTCTCCATTTCTCTTTCCTGTCACCTTTCTCTAAAAATAGATAAAATCATAGAAAAAAACTAGATTTCCACCCCTGCCCCCCAAAAAAGAAAGGTGGGCCCACTGGGAGATATATTTGCAGCAGATACGATGAGTTACAATCTTGTTGTGTAACTAATACATGCAAAATAGGTTTAAAAAAGGAGGAT